ACTAGAACGTGGACAGTAAGTAAAACTATAGGAATAAAAGAATTCTTCAAAGGAATATACGTGAGATAAGAAGAAGAGGGCTGGGCATAGAATTCTGGGGCATAGCTAGAAACTCCAACCTGCAGTTAGATGTTTCTGTATATGAAGTTCAGACCTTTACATCTCCCCTTCAGACTTTAAATTTTGACTTTCCCTAGATCACATGATTTGATCCTCCCCAGTCTCCTTATAATAGGATGATTTTTTAAATCTAGTTTTTGAATAGGTAATCATACACCTGATACAAAACTAGAAGGTAAGAAGAGAATTGATGGTGTAGCTGGGTGCTTTGGTAACCAGTAAATATCCAAATACAAATTGGTATATGGAAACAATCCAAGCTGCTTTCTGAGCATTTATAAAAGACTTCATCTCTGTCACATCACATCCTGAACAGGTCCAGGAATACAAGTTAGTTTAGATCTTCAGGATTTTGTACTTAATCCACCTTTTCCCATGAAGAAATTTATAAAACCTAAATTTAAAAACTCTTGAGTTTGTTTTGCATAAATAAATGTTATTTTTGTAGATTTAATGTTGGCTTTCATAATTGCTAGATTTCTTTAGGAAGATATGTCAGGGTCAAGGGTATTTTTGGAAAAGAGCCATGTAGAAAAGCCTTTTTCTTAAAAGAATGGTGGAAGAAAGAACAATAACAATAAATTATATATCTGAACTGCAAAGCTGTGATTTTATATTTATATTGACAGATTTTTGCTTTCTTTGGAATTTATTGTTTGAATTTCAGGTTTACATCGCCAGCTTCTATATGTTACTTCTTTTGTCTTTATTGGATATTATCTTTTAAAACGTCAAGACTATATGTATGCTGCAAAGGACCTTGATATGTTTGCATATGTAAAATCACATCCAGCGGACTTTCCTGAAAAAGGTATTTCATTTATTTAATCTATTTAGTTATTATTTTTTAAAAAAGGTATTTCAGGGGCATCTGGGTGGCTCAGTCAGTTAAGCATCCGACTTCATTGTCTCATGGTTCATCGGTTCAAGCCCCGCATTGGGCTCTGTGCTGACAGTTTGGAGCCTGCAGCCTGCTTTGGATTTTGTGTTTGCCTCTCTCTCTGCCCTTTGCCCACCCACACTCTGTCTCCCTTTCTCTCTCAAAAATAAATAAACATTTAAAAAAAGAAAAGAAAAAGGTATCTCAAGTTCCCTATAGTGAACCTCTTTCTTACCCTGTATCATTTTCCCTACATGCCTGTGGCTTCAGGTACCTTCAGTTTTCTATTGACCCTCACATCGTTGCCTATGGATTAGAATTCTCTTGAATTTCTATATCCAGTTTCTAGCCAAGTACCTCTGTGTCCCTCAGACAGCAGACAGATTTTATGTTCCCTCTGCCTGTGCAGACTACTGTTCTGTGCTCTGCATCTGTGAGTGGCACTGTCGTCCACCTGGCTACTCCAGCCAGAAGTCTGGGAAGTGTCTTCCAGTCTTTCTGTGACCTCTCATTCGTCCTCAAGTCGTCTCACCGTCCTACTTCCTAACTATTTCTCAGTCCTGAACTCCCATCTCTCCCCCACTGCCACGACCCCGGTTCACGCCCTTGTGATCTCTTGCTTCAACTCTTGTACCTGCCTCCAGCTCACCTCTGCCTCAGTCTTCCTGAAGACCATGTCTCTGGATGAATGTGGCTGTGCGTAATAGGCCTCGCACCGATACCCACGCCTATCGGACAAAATCCAGACTCTTTAGGAGGGCTTATTTCCCCAGGCTGAGCTCATTGCCTGCTAGAAAGACCTTGCCCCTACCTTTTATCTGCCGCATAACATACACATGTCTGTCTCCCTCACTGGACTGTAGCTTCATCTTTGTTTCCCCAGCCTCCTGGGCAGAGCCTGTACTGGTAAGCAATAAATAACAGCTGATCTGATCTACACAAAAACCTGCCTCATCTCCTGTCAGTCGTCTCCTGCCATGTGAAATGCTATGTCCTAAATCTGCCCTGTATCACCTTGTACACTCTGTACCTTCTTGATCGTCCTCTTCCTCCATTTTTACCTGTCCACCTAGCAAATTCCACCCTGAGACTCTTCGTCTCAAAGAAGCCCTGGCCCAGCTACAGACAGGAGTTTTCTCATCACAGTCTACTTACCACTCTTCAACTATAAATATGATTGTAATGTAACTGTTGTCTTGTTTGTATTTTACATGCATATGCATAATACAGATGTGCACATAAGTGAATGAATGAACGAATGTAGAAAAATTTTGAACTTATATAGATTTTAAAGAGACATTTAAGTATTTACATATTCACATAAAAGTGTAATATTAAGCATTTAAATTTCATTATACTGAATGATGGTCTCTAAGCTCCTATTTAGCTCTAAGATTTTACTACTCTATTGAACATTCCCATAGCCTTCAGTCACATATGTGATGTTCATGGTGGATCAAAAAGGTATAGCTTTCTTTACCAATGAGGAATTCAAAGGCTAAAGTAGAAGGCCGTGAATAATGGATGTAGTGAATGAAGAGTATGCAGAACTGTTACACGTTAGCGTTGGAATCTTGGGAATAGTGACTCCTAACCGTGAGACCCAGGGGCAGAGCAGTCCTCAGTCCCAGGCCTCTGGCTCATTGCCTCCTGTTTATACTAGCTCCTTACAGACTCCTTCTGGCTCTGAGCAGCAGATCAGTGGCAGGTGTGCTGAGAGCCTCCTGCACTGACCTCAGGGACATGGAAAGCTTGGCCACCTCGACTCCTGGTCCTCCAGCTGAACTGTGCTCCCCCCTGTTTATTCCTTCCTTTACCCCGTCAGCCAAGACCCCCCCTGGCAGCACTTTGTACCTCTAGGCAGCCACCTGGATATCACCACAGAGTCTTCCAAAGTCACCCTTCATCCAGTGAAACAGTGTCTCAGGGATTGCCAAGCTGTGGTTGAGGCTAAGAACATGAGAAAATTCTTACGAGTTTCTGTCTATGAGAATATTAAGTGTTAATTTTTCTTTAGGAAATAAGAATCTTAAGACAATTTAAAGGGCTTCTGGGGACTTAATTGGTTAAGTGTCTGTCTTCAGCTCAGGTCGTGATTTCACAGTTCATGGGTTCAAGCCCTACATCGGGCTCTGTGCTGACAGCTCAGAGCTTGGAGCCTGCTTCAGATTCAGTGTCTCCCCCTCTCTCTGCCCCACCCCGATTGACTCTCTCTCTCTCTCTGTCTCTCCCATCTCTCAAAAATAAATAAACATCAAAATAATTTTTAAAAAAATTAAATGTAATTTAAAAATAAATTTTTTTGTGATCTTTCCTTTATAGATAAGAAAACTTATGGTGAATTTCTTGAAGAGTTCCATCCAGTGCGTTGAAGTCTCCAACATGCTTACTTTGGTTTCACTTATACCAATTATTTCTGAATTTTGTGAAACACGTTTCCATATCTGAAGTTTATGTTAATTTGTGTGTTGACACTTTGTGATTAAAATGGTCATCGTGAACATTCTTGACTCCTTTTTGTCATAAGAAAAATAATTCATCAGAGAATGATCAGTTTCCATTCATCCAATTTTAAGAAGACATCTGGCAGATTTAAAATGGAGTTTAGGTGGAGGCTCACTCGATTAAGCGTCCAACTTCAGCTCCAGTCATGATCTTGCATTTCATGGGTTTGAGCCCCATATTGGGCTCTGCTGACTGCTTAGAGCCTGGAGCCTGCTTCAAATTCAATGTCTCCCTCTCTCACTGCCCCTCCCCTGCTTGCACTCTGTGTCTCTCTCTCTCTCTCTCAAAAATAAAGATTTAAAAAAATTTTTTTAATAAAATAAAATTGAGTTTAGGGGCACCTGGGTAGTTAGTTAAGAGTTAAGCGTTCCTGACTCTTGATTTCGGCTCTGGTCATGAGATGGAGCCCCATGTTAGGCTCCACACCAGGTGCGTAGCCTGCTTAATATTCTCTCTCCCATTCTCTCAAATAAAAAATAAAACGAAGTTCCGTTCAGAGTTCACCAACTAGCCTGTGGGCCAAATGTTGTCTGCTGCCGGAGCATTTCATTGGAATACAGCCATGCTTATTTGTTTACCTGTCTGTGACTGCTTCCGTGCTCTAATGGCAGAGTTGAGTAGTTGTGACAGAGACCTGATGGCCTGCAAAGGCTAAACTATTTAATATATGGCCTATTACAGCAAAAGCTTACATGTTCCCAGTGCTGGTACAAAGCAAAATAAAGTAAGCCAGATTATGGAGCATGTTCTGAATTTGCAGAATAATTTGGGCTTAAGTCTATAGGTGCTAGGAAGTCACTAAAGGCTTTTTAGTGGAATGGTACAGTCAGGTTTGTATTTCTGAGCTCTCTGCAACAATCAATATAGAGGGTGACTTATAAGGAGGAGACTCAAGACCAGAAGAATGGTTAGAACACTGATACTGCAAGGAGTCTGCTTGGGATCGCCCTGGAGAAAGTGGGCTCAGCAGCTAACACTGTCTACAGAGTTTGATGCGATTGAGAGTAAAAACCCTGCCTCACTGGAACGAAGTTACCCTTTATGACTTCCCAGGTCCAAATGTTTATCCAAAAGGTCTTTGTTTCCAAGCTCAGATTTTATAATCAGGTTAGTTTGGGGAGATTAATAAAGTTACTTCTCAATACATTATTTCAAATTAAAATGAATATAAGTACATGGTTTCCGGACAAAATAAGATGAGTTCCATCTATCTACCTGGGTCTCACTTGTTAAAAATGAAATCATGTCTGAGAAATTACTTTAGAAGCTAATGAAGATAGGGACCCCTGGGTGGCTCAGTTGGTTAAATGTCCGACTTCAGCTCAGGTCATGATCTCACTGCTCGTGAGCTTGAGCCCCATGTCAGGCTCTGTGCTGACAGCTTGAAGCCTGAAGCCTGCTTCAGATTCTGTGTCTCCTCTGCCCCTCCCCAACTCCCTCTTTTAAATATAAAATAAAACAAAACATTTAAAAAGCTAATGAAGATACATACAAGTACAAAGTTTTGGGGGTTTTTATTGCTGGAACACATATCTTATAGTTCACTTATGCTTGGCAGGTACAAGAGTGCGAACCATTCATCCCAAGGGACTTTACTACCCTTTAGTTCTGGAGGGTAAAAAGCAAGGGCTAGAGCAAACACATGGTAAGGGTCAGAGAAAGTCAACCTATAGCATTAGCACTCACAATGCCAGGTGTTTTTGATTCATCATCATTAATTTCTATGAGTCTTGTGAGGTCATACTATCCCATTTTATAGATGAGGAAATTTAGGGTCCAATGAGTTAAATAAAGATCATGTGGTGAATGACTTCCCGGAGAAAGGATATGAATTTCGGTCAGGTGCTAAAACCTACATCCTTTCTACCATACCACACTGTCCAGGTAATATCTCGCCCCTCATGAAGCATCGGCCACCACCCTGAGCTGGTAAGAGGGTGAGGGGAGCTGTGAATAACAACAAGCATCCTAAGGGTGACCTGGTGCCAAGTCCACAAGCCGGTGCTCAGAGGGAGGGAGGGAAGCATCCCAGAGAACCAAGTCGCCTTTGCTTTTCCAGCTGCAGGTCCAGGCCCCTCTGGTCTACATCAGAGCTAGTGAGCTGTTCCGTGGCCTCATCAGAGTCTGCCCTCTGTCACTTAAAGAGATCTGTGGAGAGTTGAAATTTTAAAAACCAAGTCAGTATAAATTCATACAACGCACCTACTGAGGTAGGAAAAATAATGCAGCAGCTGTTGCTGTAGGGAAATCTGGCAATGCAGTTAGCACTGTAAGAGTGGGGTTATCAGAGCCCCACCAGCGGTACTAGACTAGCGGTAACAGCTAGTCTCACCTCCATGTCTTACTCACAGGGGAACTGCAATGCAGACAGGTGAAGTTGTCCGGGGCCATACAGCGTCAGTGGTAGAACCAAGACCAGAGCCCAGATTTTCTAACTTCTGCTGTACCAGATAGCCTCCACGAAAATCAGGTTATGGTGTGCTCAGACACGGTGCAGAATGGCTGCTCTTGTCTTTGAAGGAGTTGGGCTGGTCAAAGGGTGCAGTTTCTTTTTTGTTGCTGAAGTTGATACTAACAAGTTGGATTTTTGTTCTAGCTTTTTAAAAATTTGTTTAATGTTTATTTATTTTTGAGAGAGAGAGAGAGAGAGGAAGGGGCAGAGAGAGAGGGAGACACAGAATCTGAAGCAGGCTCTAGGCTCCATGGTGTCCGCACAGAGTGTGATGTGGAGGCTCGAACCCATGAACCATGAGATCATGACCTGAGCCAAAATTGGAGGCTTAACCAACTGAGCCACCCAAGTGCCCCTGTTTTGTTTTGTTTTTTAATTATAGTTGACACATATAGAGAGGGTTTCTCTCCAGCCCAGGCTGCAGTGTTCTAAGTTGCTAGGTCAATCCACTAGCACAGAAGGGAACTGGATTTGAGTTAAGCCAGGGTTCATTCATTTCATGAGTAACCTGGGACTCTTTTTACTTCTCAGGCCCCCAGGTTTTTATCTGTAAAAGGGAATGATAGTTCCATTAGAAAATTGATATGCAAGGGGCGCCTGGGTGGCTTAGTCGGTTAAGCGTCCGACTTTCACTTAGGTCATGATCTCGCGGTTCGTGGGTTCGAGCCCCACGTCGGGCTCTGTGCTGCCTGCCAGCTCAGAGCCTGGAGCCTATTTCAGAGTCTGTATCTCCCTCTCTCTCTGACCGTCCCCTGCTCACGCTGTCTCTCTCTCTCTCTCTCTCTCTCTCCTAGAAATAAATAAAACATTAAAAAAAAAAAAAGAAAATTGATATGCAAGTGATTTTTTTTTTTTTAATTTGAGAGAGAAAGAGAGGGAGAGAGTGCCATCAGGGTGAGGGCCTGAGAAAGGGAGAGAAAGAATCCCAAGCAGGCTCCATGCTTAGCTCAGAGCCCTACACAGGGCTCAGTCCCAGGACCCTGGGATCATGACCTGAGCCAAAATCAAGAGTCAGAGCCTCAACCAACTGAGCCACCCAGATGCCCCATATGCAAGTGATTTTTAAACTATAAAACTATTCAAGTGCCAGTAGTTATTTTTACTAATACTTTTATTATTCAGTGAAGAAACGGAAACCCAGAGAACTGAGCCAGTGAAACCAAGCCTTAGTGGTACAGTCAGAACTTGAACCAGAGCTGTTGACCCAAGCATTCACATACTTACTAGTAAATCTACCCATGCTCAAACACATATATGTGCACAGAAGGTATGCATTCATGGGCCACCTTTCCTATTATCACTGTGCAGTTCATGGCCATTACTTACCAATTATGGGTCCAGAGAGTAAGACAAGTCTGGCCTTGAGCCCTCCCAGGTCATGGTCTCAATACCCTGCGGTGAGGGTGCCCGTCTGAGACCCAGGCTCTCCCCCTCCCACCAGTTTGTGCACTGCTCCAGCTCATCTCCCCTGGACTATCCCTCAGTGGACTCTGACACCCACCAACGGAGCCACTTTTACCTTCCCTAGAGTCCGAGGCCTACTTGGCCTGTCCTATTATCTCCTGGTATGTTCTTGTCACCTCCTCAGCTTTCAGGATAAGGTGGGTGAGGATGTGATGAAGGCTGGAAAAGTGCAGGCGGAACTGGGCTTCCAGGTCCAGCTGCCCCAAGATCCTCTCCTCCTCAGACTCCTCCATCTTCGCAGCTTCATTCTCAGCCTCACTGGCCCTGTCTCTCACCACCTTGGACCTCCACTCCTCTCGGGGCAGCAGCCCGTGGTCCACATCCATGCGGATGGCCTTGAGCATAGTGAAGCAGTTGTAGAGATCAGGGGCCCCGTCCTGGGCCTGGTGCCCGTGCACACTAAACTGCATGTCCCGCAGGAGGCTGGGGATCATCACCACCTGCTCCATGTTGCGCACCACGGCCGAGTACCGGTCCATGACAGTCAGCAGGCAGTCCTTGGGGTAGTGCTTGGTTTGCACCTGCATAACGGCTGCTGCTTCCATGCCGAGTCCAGCAGACTGCCCCAGCACTAAGTTGAGGCTATTTTTATGTCTGGAAGTGACAGCAGTTTGACAAGATGCCAAAGCCCAGCCAGTGGGTCAACACAAACCTGTTTTAGACCAATCCCAGGGCTTGGGCACCAAGCGATATATCAGGCGATCCATCTGCCCAGAGACAGACCTGCCAGCCCTCTGTCTGTCATTTTAGCACTCTATGACTGCCTCAGCGGGAGCCCGCCTCCTCCTTCATCAGCTCCTCGGGCTTGTGAGAGGGAAGCTTTTCCCTTTGGCAACCAGTGTGCTTGACCCCAGGGCAATCAGTCATGAGTTCTTTTGGGTTATCTGAGACCAAGCTGCCTCTTCACTGCCTGCCTCCTCTTTTTTTTTTTATTTTTTTTTTATTTTTCTTAACATTTATTTTTGACAGAGGGTGAGTGGGGGAGGGGCAGAGAGACACAGAATCCGAAGCAGACTCCAGGCTCTGAGCTGTCAGCACAGAGGCCAGCATGGGGCTCAAACCCACGAGCCGTGAGATCATGACCTGAGCCAACATTGGACGCTTAACCGACTGAGCCACCCAGGTGCCCCTTCACTGCCTGCCTCCCCTTGCACAAGTTCACTTTTTCAATCTGGGGTGCCTTAGATGCTAAATGAACTAGAGAGGACAGTCATGAGATGAAACAGCTCAGTATGGGGCAAAGAGCACTGACATAGGAGCCAGAAGCCCAACCCTGCAACTTCCCAGCTGCATTTTCTGGTTGTTTGCCAGCGAACATTTATTGAAAACATACTTCACGTCAAGTTCTACGCTAAGTTGAAGTAACTTGCCCATGGCCCCATTGGAGCTGGGATGCCTGCCCAGGACCACTTCTCTCCCACCTCCAGTCAGCGCTCTAGACCACTGTGTGAGGTTGTTGAAGTTGTACAAGTTAAATGGGTCCATATCCTTGTCTGTAAATCTGAGGTGCTGTGAGAATTGCATGGGATAAAGCCAATGAAAATGCTCTGTAAACCACAAAGCACAGTTCCCAGATGCATTATCTGTTCAGATGCTAGATGAATGCAGGGCTCTCTCAACTTTAACCTACAATTCCACCAGTTACAATGCTTCTTCTTCACCATCTATCTAGTCCTTTGACAGTTGACACACTGCATTTGCTGTATTTTTTTATGGATAACTAGGAAACCTGAGGCCCAGAGAGAGGCTCAAAGTTGTGCAGCAAGTAAGTATTGGAGTCAAGTGGAGAGCAAGAACTTCCAAGTTCTAATTCCGCCACCTGCTCACAACACCACCATGAGTGGAAAGATCTGCTAGATACTTCTGCTCCAGCAATGGGGAGAGAGGAGGAGAGCATAGGGAGGGGATCTTGTCTCACCTAAGCCACCCTCACCCCTACCCCTGGGTGGGAGCCACTTCTGCACGCTCTTGATTCACTCTCTTGGCTCCACTCACCCACTCCCTCCCACGCCTATGGCCAGAGCTACAAGAAAGTTCATCTTTATTTTGAACTGAATTCTACCTGTCTTTAGCCTCTCCCCATTAAATGATAGTATTCACCCCATCCCACTCCAAAGTTGCCCTCCTTAACTATGCTTCTATTAGCACAACAGGGTTGTGTGAAACACCATTTCCCAGTCTTTAACTCGCTCAAGCCCCATGGCAGCCGTATGATGCAGAAAAACATTGGTAGCCCTCTTTTCAGACAAGGAAACAGCTGAGCGGGGGAGGTACTTGTCCAAGGGCTCAGACCTTTGACAAGATGAGCCTCGGTCCAGCTCTCCAGCCCTCAGAGGAAAACCCAGGTCGTTTTCCTCTCTCCAAGTGCCCTTTCTGGGCACTTTGCCGTGCACATAGCCACAGGTAACCTGGGGTCATCCCGCGTTGGACAGGTGGCCTTGCTTCTTCAGGGCAGAGAGGGCAGCCAAGTCCAGGCCACAGGCTTACTGCAAAGGGCAAAGCTTCCACTTTAACCTTTTCTGTATCACAGATTGTGGAGTGGAACAGAGAACATAAGCCAGCTCTTCCTCCTCATGGCTGTGTGGCTCCGGACTAGTCACTGCTCCTCTCTGTACCTCAGCTTCCTCCTATGGTGTAATCATGATGACATTGATTGAGGGCTTGCTTTTCTTTCTTTTTTTTTTTTTAATATTTTTTTTTAAATTTATTTCTAGGAGAGAGAGAGCGTGAGCAGGGGAGGGTCAGAGAGAGAGGGAGACACAGACTCTGAAACAGCCTCCAGGCTCTGAGCTGGCAGTCAGCACAGAGCCCGACGCGGGGCTCGAACCCACGAACCGCAAGATCATGACCTAAGCGAAAGTCGACGTTTAACCGACTAAGCCACCCAGGTGCCCCGAGGGCTTGCTTTTCTAAGCAAAGTGCTTAGAATGGAACTCAATCCTCCCAACAATGACATATGGTAGGAGTTCCCCGTTTGCAGATGAAGAAATTGAGGTCTATGGGGGTAATCAGCATAAGAATACACTTAAGTTCTTAAGCAAGGGGGAATTGAGATAGGTAATAACTCCTATCCACAGGTCACTATGAATATTACAGATGACGCTTATGAAATACCTGGTACATTGCAATAGCCCGGTAAATTTGCACTGCCTCCTGAAACTTCTGTTTTCCTCCTTTCTGCTCCCCAACCCCTCTTTTATGCCTCCATTTTAGGACTTGCTACGTACATTTCCATTCATTGTGCACCTGCCTCAGGGCCCAGTGCTGCAAATGCTCAGTAGATATTAGCTGATTAATGACTATTAGATTCACTTCTTGTAGGGCGCCTGGGTGGCTCAGTCAGTTAAGCATCTGACTTCTGCTCAGGTCACGATTGTGAGTTTGAGCCCCACGTCAGGCTCTGTGCTGGCAGCTCAGAGCCTGGAATCTGCTTTGGATTCTGTGTCTCCCTCTCTCTCTCTCTCTCTCTCTCTCTCTCTTTGCCCCTCCCCTGCCTGTGCTTGCTCTCCCTCTCTACATCTCTCTCTCAGAGATAAATAAATAAATTTTAAAAAATTAAATTTTAAAAAAAATTCACTTCTGATACATTCTAGTGCCATTGGTCATAACGTCCAGCCCCCTTGAAAACGGGGCTCCCGGCTTAACAGGAAGCAGTAGCAAGGACTCTGGAGGGGTGGGAGCCTGAGCAGCTGCAGCCAGTGCAGGTGCTAACATTGAGGCTCTTTTCTGGAATCACTCCTCAGGGAAGGAGGGGCACACCACACTCCTGTCCTGACAGTCTTCATCATCCAGGTTGCTCTCCTCATACTTTACTGCAAACAAAACTCTTAGCAAGACACATGAGCCCCGTATTACCTCCACCAGTCAGGGCGGTAACTAATTTGCATAAAGCTGTTTCCTACACGATAAGTAGAAAAGAGCAAGTTTTCTGAATTAATTGAGGAAGTGAAAGAATTTAATTTTAACAGGGTACTTAAGTAAATATTTGATTAATTCATTTCCAGCCCTAAAAGGTTTTTTTTGGTTGGGGGGGTTGCCTTTATTGGGAAACCCATTCTTTAAAGGTTTTCTCCTCAGGAAAATGGGCTTCCTTCGTATTCCAGCACCCAGGATGGCTGAGCAGTGGGTACAGACAAAGACCACGAGCCTGGTCGCGGTGGTTTGGGTTTGGGGCTGCTGCCAGGCCCACTTATAAGTGGGCTGCCTGCACTCTGGTGTCCAAGGAGGTAAAATGGAGGGTTGGGAGTTCTCTGAACAGAAGGCCCTTCCAGCCCAAGTTGTGTAACTCCTGCTGAATCCATGTTCAGGTCCCTGAGGGCATCACCCCGCCTTAGTTCTTGGGTTTTGAACCCAGCCCTGAGGCCACCGACTCAGAACTAGAAAACGTGATGTGGTCAGGGCTGAGGGAGCTGACCTTGGCATGGCAGGCAGGCCAGAAGTGCCGTGCAAGTGGCCTGGGGCCAAATGAGGCCTCCCTGGGCCTCCTCCCATCTATTCAATAAAGCGGCTAATCTGTGTTAGGGCCTCTCCAGCTCTGACTTTGGGGGACTCCACCTGAGCATAGAACCCCTGTGTTCTTCTGTGTCATTCTGCCTCTGCTGTTTGTGTCCTGATCCTATCTTGGGCCAGTCTGTTCCCAGATGTGTTCCTGGACCTGGCCCAGAGGGACTGAGTAAGTGCCACGTACATGAGTGAGTGAGTGAGCAAATGGGTGTTAGTGAAAAGGGGAGAAAGTGGACAAATTGGTAATTGGGAGAATAAATGAGCCACATGGGTGAGTAAGCGCAGACCATACAAGGAGCCCTGGGAAGGAAGAGGAGGGTCCATACAGCCAGCATCATCCAGACAGCAGGCTACACACTGAGGCTGCCTCCAGGTCTACCTGGCAGAAGGAAGGTCCTGGATGAAATGTTGCTAAATTAGCGGCTGCCCAGCATCTCCAATTAGAAGAGAGAGAGAGGGGATCCGAGGGGATAGGCTGAACTCAGACAAGTTCTAGGAGTGGGGAGGGGAAAGGAGGAAGGCAGGAAAGAAGGGACGTGGGGTCTTTTCAGGGGGTTTGGTAGGGCAGGAGAGGTCGCTCTGCTTCAGCCAGGTCCACTGGACTCAAGTGTCCTTGCTCTCAAGATACCATATCCCAGGGCGGGGAGATTATCTGGTCAAGCTGGGCCACTGCAGGTAAGGACGTCCCAGCGACTGCCATGGAGAGGAGAGAGGTATCAGAAGCTGGACTAGGGACACCTGGGTGGCTCAGTCAGGTAAGTGTCTGACTTCAGCTCAGGTCATGATCTCATGGTTCGTGGGTTCGAGCCCCGCATCGGGCTCTGTGCTGACTGCCAGCTCAGGGCCTGGAGCCTGTTTGAGATTCTGTGTCTCCCTCTCTCTCTGACCCTCTCCTGCTCATGCTGTGTGTGTGTGTGTGTGTGTGTGTGTGTGTGTGTGTCAGAAATAAATAAAACATTACAAATTTTTTTAAAAATGAAGCTGGACTAGACCTCAAGTGTTACTAGTCTCCCCAGTCTTCCTTTCTCCCCCTCCCTCTTCC